CAGGTACTCGCGCAATGTGCGCTTTGGCACAACATTGTATGCGCTATGAACAGTGCAAGCAGGAAGGACGAGCTCGCAAAGGAACCCAAGATGGAAGCTTTGCAGTTCGGTTGAGTTGATTGCGCAGATTCAGTTCTATCCAACTCGGAATTGTACTGTTTTGTTTGGTTAACTATAGTGTAGCAGGGAAGGCACTATAGGGGTACAATTTAGGTGAAGGTTGGATGTTGTTTGTCTGTATTTGCATGCTACAAGGCCAGGGGAAACCAGCGGAACCAGCATTTGGCTGGTTGGGCAAAGACAAAAACAGGTTCTGTTTTTAGAACCTGAACCTGGTTGTTGTTTTCCCAGGTTGGAAAAACAGAACCAGAGGTTGTTTACCAACCTACCACCTGCTATTTTGTCCAGCCAGGTTGGTTCTGTTGCTTGGAATTATTTGGGATCATCCCTGGTTGTTCCCAGGTTGATTCCCAAGGTCCTTGCTAGCTAGAACTATTTAATCCTTCTCTGTTTGTACCTGAATATAGTCAAATTGATTCAAGCGAATTCCTTCCTCGCTGGAATTTCATTTCTACGCGGTTCGTTGGCGGAATGCTACCCGAGTCAACGCTAGTACGCTAGCGCTCCAACGCTAGGCAAACGCTGTCCGAGCCATAACTTAGTAATGGCAGAACTTTTCGCGAGGCAACTTGGCTCATTTTAAAGCTCTTGGAGCGAGCTTCGATATAGCAAGTTCTCAGCTTAATCCGACCGACGGTCTGCACGGCACGCTGCGCGACGTTCAAGGTATTCTTGCTGTTTTGACTAAGTCCTTCTTGATCCCTCTCTCTACAAACTCGGACCCGAGGATAGGGGCTGGTCTTGTACCAGGCACCCAGGGACCCTTGGAGGTGACCCCGAGGAGAGGTTTTAAGTTTGATTAAGTCCTAATAGCTTGAGTTTATTAGGCCCTTACACCAACACCATCGCCCTGCCCCACCACAGATCCATTCACCACCTTCCGTGGCAGCAGCTGCCTGTGAGGCAGCAGCGGTTTCTCTGACATGAACGGGTGAGGCAAAGGGGGGGCGTTAAGGAGCAGGGGGAAGGCGACGACGTGGGCGTCGGGGCGCATGAGGGAGAGCGGGAGGGCGTCCAGCAGGCGCAGCCACGGGATGATGGGCTGCCCCCACGTGGACTCATGCACGGCCGCGGCAGAGGGTGGGGCGCCAGGCATAGTGGCAGCAAGGTCATCAGAGGCGGCAGCTGTAGCAGCAGCAACAGCAGCGCTGGCAGTTGCTACAGCTTCCTCTGCAGCGGCATCACGGCAGTCGGGAGCATGTGCGCAGGCTGTGGCAGGTGAGAGGGGCTCGTGGAGGGAATGGGTCGCAGGGGAGGAGAGGGAGGGGAAGGAGGGAGAAGTAAACATAAGATGCTTGGGGGGTGATGGGGAGCAGCATGTGCAGCACAGCACTACCAGCTGCTACAGCAGCTTGTGCTCATGCACATGCAGAAAGTGCACATCAACGTGCCTTAAACAAGCTGCATTGGCATGCATTGCTCTCTGCACTCACCGCATGCATTGCTCTCTGCACTCACCGCATGCATGTCACAGCGGCCACCGGATTGAAAGGTGCCGCCGGTGAAGTGGCTGGGTGAGGCGGAGCGCAGGAAGATGACGGGCGGAGCGGACAGCGGCGAGCGCCAGCGAGCGCATGACTGCCAGCAGTGCCTGCCTGCACAGACCGGCCATGAATGGCGTTGACTCCAGTTGACTCTCAGACGGCATGTACGGGCGCGCGGTGGGGGAGGTCTGCACAGCCTGCTGGTTGGCTCTGAAACTGTGTGGAGGGGGGAGGTGGGTGGAGCGATAGCGAGACAAAAGGATAGAGGAGTGGGAATGAGGAGTAGGAATGTGGGGCGGGCGGAACGAGGGGTGTGTGTTGATCGAAACACAAACCGAGGCTGGCTGCCCTACTGCGTGCGCGCCTCGCCTCATACGCCCTCGCTGAGCACCTGCTGGCAGTCCAGTGGTTGGCAGTGCTGAGCACGAGCACGTCCAGGCGCCACAGGTGCTGCAGCAGCCACTCGTCCGCCTCATACACCCCAACCACCCGCCGGTACTGCCTCCTCCTCCCCGCCCCCACTTGCCGCCGCCCCTGCCCGCCCTCCTCCCTCCCCTCCTCCACACTCTCCCCCTTACTCCCCCTTTCCTTCTTCTCATCCTCCCCCCCCCCCCCCCTCCTCCTCCTCTCCCTCTTCCTCCACGGGCACGGCAGCGGGCAGCACGTCCTCACTGCACAGCAGGTTGGAGGTGCGCTGCAGCACAGTGGTGTTGCTGCCAGGCAGCCACACAGCCGCGCCCCTGGCAGTGCCGCGCACAGGCGCGCCCCACGTGAGGTTGAAGCGCCACCCCACGTCCACCACCGCCACGCCCTGCCCGCGCGCCCTGCCCTCGCTGCCTTCATTGACTGGGCGGGTGTGGTTGGGGGGCAGCACTCGGGGGCGCGGGGCGAGCAGGCAGAGCAGCGAGAGGAACTGCTGGCGGCTGAGCGAGTCGCCCACCAGCGCCACCGTGCGGTGCTGCATCCTGCTCATGCATGGCGGGTGGAGAGGAGGGGAGGAAGAGGGGAAAGAGGGGAAAAAGAAGAGGAGCAGAGGAAGAGAGGAGGTGAGATGTTGCGTGGCGTGGCAAGTTAGAGAGTAAATGGCACCGCCAGTTGCCAGTGAAGGTTCTGTGCGTGGCATTGCAGCAGGGCGGGGATAGGGCAGGGGCGTTGAAAAATGAGGTGATGGCGCAGGGAGCGAGCAACAAGAGCCGAGGTGCCATGGCTTTGCTTGGCGCCTGGTGCGCTGCAGTGGGCGCCAGGTGGGGTGCGCGTGAGGGTTGTGGTGGGCAGCGTGAGGGTTGTGGTGGGCAGCGTGAGGGTTGTGGTGGGCAGCGTGAGGGTTGTGGTGGGCAGCGTGCGTGCCTGAGGAGCAAGTCAGAGGCATTGAAAGCAGGCACGTCGCACCCATGGGGCCGCCACCGATACTCCTCAAACGCAAAGTCCCGACTCATGCCCTCCCCCTCCCCCTCCCCTTCCCCCTCCCCATCCTGTCCCCCCTCCTCCTTGCCTTGATCTCCCCCCTTTCTGCTTCTTCGCTCGATCTGCTCTCCCTGCTATGGCGTCCCTTCATTCGCCCCTGCATCACTCGTCTGCACCCAACCTACCCGCCGACCTCCCTCTGCCTCCATCACAAAAATCATATGACCAGAAACCTGTTGTAAAGAGTTGTGTCGAATTATTTTCAAATGCTTTTAAAACGTAGGGGCCAAAACTATTTTCGGTGAAAGTATAAACATTTTTCCGAATGCTTTGTCGAATGCTTTGCAGGTGTTGGCATGTTTCAATTACCTTCGGAATAACGTTGGTCCAAGTGTCTTTGGAGATGTATCACACTTGGTTCGGAGTGGTTAGGGAGATTAAATTCCACTCAATAATCTCTGGTGCAGAGCTTAGGACCAAAGTTAAAAAAAAAAAAGAAAAAGAAACCTTCAACATGTGTTTCTCGTTGTTTCATGGAAGGTCTACGAGCCTTTATTAGGTGTATACACACATCATGAAATGCATTGCTAAATGATCATTAATCTCATTACAGAGTTAGATTGGCACACAAAACAGCTTCCTAAACACGCTTTGCCACGTACCGCTAGGGTGGACTACTCAGCACCGTCCTCCTACCTTCCTCGCAAGCCACCATCGGATGTGTCCCCGGCCCATCGGGCTATTGGCCTAGAGAGTTATTGACTACAAACACTGCTCCACCTAATGCTAACCTGCACGGCTACACACTACATGTCTCCTCTCATGCCTGCTCCTGCTGCTCCACATTGGGGCTCTCCTGGAACTCCCCTGTTACCTCCCCTGCTACCCCCCCAGCTACTACTCATGCTGCCTCCACTACCGCCTCACATGCTGCCTCCACTGCTCCTCCACTACCGCCTCACATGCTTCCTCCACTGCTCCTCCACTACCGCCTCACATGCTGCCTCCACTGCTCCTCCACTACCGCCTCACATGCTGCCTCCACTGCTCCTCCACTACCGCCTCACATGCTGCCTCCACTGCTCCTCCACTACCGCCTCACATGCTGCCTCCACTGCTCCTCCACTACCGCCTCACATGCTGCCTCCACTGCTCCTCCACTACCGTGATCCAAAGACCCTCCACAACAGTCGCATACCAAAAAAGCACTCCTCTCTCTTTGTTGCCTCCCCTGCTGCCTCTCTCTATTGCCTCCCACGCAGCTTCTCTGTGTTGCCTCTAATGCTGCCATTCTAGTCATGCCTCCCCTGCTGCCTCTCTCTGTTGCCTCCCCTGCTGCCATTCTGTTTTGCCTCCCCTGCTGCCTCCCTTTGTTGCCTCCCCTGCAGCCTCTCCCTGTTGCTTCCCTTGCTGCCATTCCATGTTGTCTCCAATGCTGGTTCCATTTGTTGCCTCCTCTGCTGCCATTCTATGTTGCCTCCCTTTGTTTCCTCCCCTGCTGCCTCCCTTTGTTGCCTCCCCTGCTGCCTCCCTTTGTTGCCTCCCCTGCTGCCTCTCGTTGTTGCCTCCCCTACTGCCATTCTATGTTGCCTCCCTTTGTTGCCTCCCCTGCTGCCTCCCTTTGTTGCCTCCCCTGCTGCCTCTCGTTGTTGCCTCCCCTACTGCCATTCTATGTTGCCTCCCCTTCTGCCTCTCTCTGTTGCCTCCCCTGCTGGCATTCTGTGTTGCCTCCCCTGCTGCCATTCTGTGTTGCCTCCCCTGCTGCCATTCTGTGTTGGCTCCCCTGCTGCCTCCCTCTGTTGCCTCCCCTGCTGCCTTTCTATGTCGCCTCCATTGCTGCATTTCCTTGATGACTCACTGCTGCCTTTCGTTGTTGCCTACCACTCTGACTTTCCATGTTCCCTACCCTGCTGCCTTTCCTTGATCCCTACCCGCTGCAGACCCCAACTGGTTATACGCCCCTGCTCTCCCGTTAACCGATACCCTCCTGCCTCACTCGATGCCTCTCCAACTGCCTCCAGTGCCACCCGCCCTGCTTGCCCCCTTGTCTTTCTGGCCCATCACTTTCCCCTCCTGCCTCCCATGCTTTTCCCTCTTGTGCCTTCTGCTCTCTCTCCACCCCTTTCCCCCCTCATCAACTTCCTCCTCTTCCCCTTCCTCCTCCTCTTCATCTTCCTCTTCATCATCCTCCTCCTCCTCCTCCTCCTCCTCTTCCTCCTCCTCCTCCTCTTCCTCCTCCTCCTCTTCCTCCTCTTCCTCTTCCTCCTCCTCCTCCTCCTCGTTATCCGCCCGAGCTGTCCTCCGGAACGCCTCAAACCCGGACTCGTGTACATAGAGCCCACGCGTGCCCCACTTGAAGCCCTGCAGCTCTGCGTTGTACACGGGGGTGTGGCATCTAAAGTGATTCCTAACAATCCCCCGCACCCCCGACTCAAACTCGCCATCCATCTAGTGTTTTTCCGGTGAGAGTTCGGGAGGTTCATGTCGGTCTTCTTTCTGCGCGCCAGGCCTTGGTCAATCTGAAATGGGTTTGGATTACAGGGATCAGCAACAAGGCAGAGTTGGGTGATTACGGTGTTAGCCCCCAAGGGTCCCACGTCGTTCACATGCAATAAAAAGGGTTGAGCATTAGTACAAGGGATTGAGTTTTACAAAAACAGCCTCACCACCATGAGGGACCAGGCTATGTGGTACGCTTTTAGGGCCAGCATGCACCCAACCGCGTAATCCCGAAATGATGCCTTCACTGCATTGACAAACCGGGCGTTGGCAAAAGGGAGCCCGGATCTGTCGTTCCCCCATGAGCTGACCCGCTCATTCCCTCCTACACGCATGCACGACCAGGTGGGGAAGCACGGGGTATGTTTGATCATCAAGAAGTGGGGCAGGCAGGTTTTGGAGGTATGTTCTTGCATCCTGTGGAGGGGCATGCAGGGCGGACGGGTATGTTAGAGCGTCGTGAGAGGCTAGGCAGGGCAGACGGGTTGTGTGAGGATCCTGAGGTGGGGCAGGCAGGGCAGACGGGTTTGTGTGAGGATCCTGAGGTGGGGCAGGCAGGGCAGACGGGTTTGTGTGAGGATCTTGAGGTGGGGCAGGCAGGGCAGACGGGTTTGTGTGAGGATCCTGAGGTGGGGCAGGCAGGGCAGACGGGTTTGTGTGAGGATCCTGAGGTGGGGCAGGCAGGGCAGACGGGTTTGTGTGAGGATCTTGAGGTGGGGCAGGCAGGGCAGACGGGTTTGTGTGAGGATCCTGAGGTGGGGCAGGCAGGGCAGACGGGTTTGTGTGAGGATCCTGAGGTGGGGCAGGCAGAGCAGACGGGTTTGTGAGAGGATCCTGAGGTGGGGCAGGCAGGGCAGACGGGTTAGTGACCATGACAGGATGGGGCCGGGTTGAGGTTATGAAAGTGCGATCAGACAACACAAAGGGAATGAGCAAGGGGATGAAAACATCAAATTAGCAACGGGGTTGCTGACCATCAAGACTCACTCGGTTTGTATTTTCGCCACAGCCTCCTCTTTCTCTTCATGCTCAGCATGAGCTCAGCTGCACGCAGCCCATCCACCATCACTCCGAACTTCTCGAGCACACTGCGCTTGACTTGGAAGCCCCGTTCATTCTTCCAAGCTGTCCACACGCGCTTAAAGACGGCAACGACGTTCTGGTCTTTCTTTGTCTCTTTCAGCTGCATGTACGAAATGATGTGGGTCTCACTGATGACGCCATATAGAACCTGTAGTCGCTGATCAAAGGATGGGTACCAATCAATCGCATGGTCCGGCGCGTCCATGCACATCCGGTCCCGCGCCTCGACAAAATGAAGCTACATTGGGCGGGAGGCGGGGGCAAGAAGAAAACAGAGGCGAGGGGCAAGCATATGAAATGTGGGGCAGGCAGAGTGGGTTGCAATTAACGTCCATGACAAAGGGTGGCTGGCACGGGAGTTTATAATGAGCAGGAATAACAGACGTAGGGCAGGCAGAGGGTATTAGAAACGTAATGCAAGACGTTGTGGGTTAACATGAGCATGAATAAGATTGAGGCAGTGGGGTTACGAATGAGCATCAATAACCAAGGTGGGGCAGTCAAAGGGGGTTAATATGCGCACTCATATCACTGTTGGTATACATACCTTTGGTTTTGAAAGCCCCGCAGAGTGCCCCTCACACTCACCCTCAATTTCTCGAGGGTGGGCATTCCATGCCTGCGCCGAATGGGCTGGCCCTCTGTCGGTGTGCTCTCCTCAGCCACCCCGGGACTGAGGCCCCCAGATGATGGGTCGCTCGCCATAGGTGCCAGAGGAGGAACCCGGGAGGGAGGTCCGCGGTTTTTGCAAACTGGTTTTGCTTGAGGGCTGCTACTTCGCCGTTTGCTAGCTCGAGCTCTCGCGTGAGCTGCTCCACCGTCTTGGGGCCAGCCGGATTGAGACGACCTGATGCACCAGGCGTGCCCATGCTCTCACCCCTCCCCTCCTTCGAGTGTGCATCCCTTTTCCAGGTGTAGTCGACGCCCCTTTCGTCACGTTCATCGTACGGAGACCCAGCCATAACTCCGCCACAATCACCCAAGGCATTTGCCCACATCCCACCAGCCACACCGTCGTTTGCTGCTGCGGCCGTTGCGTCACCGTATCGTTTTGGCACCGTCTCGCCTCTATCAAGATCCGGTGAACCCCGTGTCACGACAGGTTTCGTGGTTGGGTCTTCACCATCCTTGTTATGACGCCAGGACCCTGTAGGCAGCGGGTCTGCTCCTTTCCCAGCAGTTAGTGATGGCCCTCTGAGAGCAGCGTAAGGGTCCTCGCGATCGTCACGCCTCCATCGGGCCTGATCCTTACGATCAAGAGAGCTAGTGGGAGCAGCAGTTGCTTTCACTCCCATCTCCGCATAGAAATCAGGCTCGGGCTTCACTTTGGCGCGCACATGGACAACCTGGGCAACGCCACGCCGGCGACCATTGTTGTTATGCGATTTCCCACGACTGTCTCGCCCCTTGCGACCATTGTCACGACCCTTGTTACGGTTCCTCTTATCCTTGCCCTTCTTGGGCCGCCGATCACGCCCCTTTATCTTGGGACGCACCTCATCTGCCTCCTCGCTTTCGGGCTCCAGATCCTGATCCTCACTCTCCTCCTCCTCCTCCTCCTCCACGTCCCCATAGACCTCCTCGCTGCCAGATGAGCTACCAGATTCCTCGTCGCTGGATCCCTCCTCAGAACCAGACGAGGAGCTGGAAGCGTAGCGTTTCCGTCCCTGGCGAGCCTGCCTCATTTCTCTGTCGTGACTGCCCGTATCAACCACATTGCGCCGCTTGTACGTAACTTCATCCGCTCGTCCCTTATTCTCCCCGTTACTCTCGCCCTTAGCGACTTCAGTCCCTCGTCCCTTTCCCCCGCCCCATTCCTGTCGCCCTTAGCGACTCCAGTCCCTCGTCCCTTCCCTCCCCATTCCTGTCGCCCTTAGCGACTCCAGTCCTCGTCCCTTTCCCTCCCCATTCCTGTCGCCCTTAGCGACTTCAGTCCTCGCCCCTTACGCTCCCCATTACTGTCGCCCTTAGCGACTTCATCCGCTCGTCCTTAGCCTCCCCATTACTACTCTCGCCCTTAGCGACTTCAGTCCCTCGTCCCTTACCCTCGCCATCATTGTCGCCCTTAGCGACTTCAGTCCCTCGTCCCTTTCCCTCCCCATGCCTGTCGCCCTTAGCGACTTCATTCCCTCGCCCCTTACGCTCCCCATTACTGTCGCCCTGAGCAACTTCAACCCATCGTCCCTTACCCTCCCCATCTTTGGCATGCCCAGACTGAAGCAGGTCGTCACCCACCACCAACCCGCCTTCTCCTGCTGATGAAAAGAGCTGCCCCTCTCCACCGCTCCCCTCCCCTTCTTGCGCTTTGCTCTCGCACGGCAGTGACCCTTCTCTTCTGACTCGGCTGTGAAAAGCCACAACAGAGCGAAATGAAGTCACACGTGACGTTAGCGGGATTGGCAGTAACAACATATAGGCATCCCAGAAATTACGCAATGAGCGAGAGAATTACTGGTGGAATCTACACCCACAGGTACCTTTCTGGCCTTTCTTGGAGTTTAGTTCTTCTAACTTATTCGTACGCGTTTCCCTCCGTTTCGGGGGCGAGGAATAGCTTTGTTTGCGTATGGCTCCTCATCGCCGCCACGGCTTGAGTCGTCTTCAGATGAGGAATCGCCCCTTGACTCGCTATCGTCGCAGGCTTTGGATGGATGTCTCCTACGATACTCCTTGACGACTTGGGCAGTTTTCTCTGCTGTTACTACCTCCATATATCTCTTCTCATCTGGCGATTTGGTAGAACAAGGCAACTCTACAGCAGCAACCTGCGCATTAAGGGTTTGATCCAGAACTGTTGGCTCTAGGTTCTCACCCATGAGGGGCTACTAAGTGTACATAGGACTAAGATAGTGACTGGACTCAGCGGCTGATACTAGCATTAAGTATCAGTGGGTTGCTGAGGTCCGAGTACCAGAAAGTGTGTGGAGCAGGTGTACGTGATCCAACCACTACGTATGAGCAGCACAGGCTGATGAGGGTTTCAAACATGGGGTTGCAAGAAGCACGATGGTCCTCCCCAGATCCTTGCCTCTCTAGAGCACAGATCCATGGTTTGCTACTGTAGATGGAGAAAAGTAAGACGGACACGGTCAGAGGTGTGATGCAGTGGCGCCATCCGAGTGCATAAACTGCACCCTGTTCACGCCACTGGTTGTTTAAAATGTTGGATTTCATGCGCGCGCTACTGACTGTTTTCCCTCTAAGCGCGACAAGAACGGTCTACAAGAATATATACCCGTGGCAGCGAGGTGAGAGTTTGCTCTGCCGACTGCCTCGTATTGCTGATTTACAGGCGACGCGACAGACGCTGCACGTATATTATCACAATCGTCACGTACAATGTCCGATGAGCATCTGTGACAACTCAGTGACCTACGTGAGGGAGGGACGGAATCGAACCTGTGGTCGCACAAAGTCGTGCAGCCAAGGACGACAGGTCGACACCCGGCGTGACTTGTGCGGGGAACACCTGAAATCGCGGAGTTGAGAGTCGCTGACAGCGATTGCGACTCGGTCGCTCAGCTTGCTGGCATGATGAATGCAGGTGGCGTAGGCATTAGATGCGTGGCCCATCCAAAGTGGTGCACGTATATACGCCAAGTCCCGCTATGGCAACTGTAGATGTATGTACTACCCTGATCGAATATAAACGGTAAGTATAATCGGTTTCAATATCCTATCATGTGGCTCATACATTCGCAGACTAGCCTTTATATCACAAGGGCCAGACAGATAGTTACAATTACCATCCAAGAAACATCAACATGATGCACACTGTGACAATCTGGTTACTCGTTTAAGGCCGCTACGCGAGGCAACTGGCTTACATTTCGAAATACGTGTGATTTTCTTACAACAATAATATC